CTCCCAGTTGACGATGCTACCCTATGCAACTCCTTGCTTTCCCCCCCTCTTTTTAGGAAAAAGATCTGCCATCTCTCCAGACCTTTTCGCTCCTCCAACGTATCCGTAATACTGAATCAAATGTGACAGGCGGAAAGAGCGGGTAAAGGCCCTTAATCCTCTCAAAGTACCACATTTCCGCCCTCCCCCGGCCTCCGTATGCTTCTTCTAACAGTGACTCCCAGCTTCAATACAATTACCCCAGAAAAGGTCGCCATGGAAGAATTTTGTTGAGATAGGAAATAATAGACACTATGGAATTTCGGCAGTATACAGATGGAATGGGGGTATAAGAAACAGTGCTGTTTCCTAAGTTCATTATGCAGGTGTTGTTGTTTGCAATCTTGCTGCCTGTGTCTAACGGGCGTTTGGTAAGATTTGCGATTCGAGAGCATCGGGTCCGAGCATGGTCGAAAGGAATGGCGAGCGCTATGCCGGTCCTCGGCGGACCTTATTCCAAAAGCGCTTCATGACGCCTCGGTCGTTGGCCTGAGCGTTTTCCTGGTCCATGGCCGCGAACTGACGTTCTATGCTCTCCTTTGACGACCCATCTCGGACGTACGTCGACGTCGGAAATTCGTCACGTAAGCCGTTGGATTGGGATTTCCTAGGCGGTAACGGCTTCTGTTGCCAGCCGTACATTTGGTCTTCGTGGGCTCGGAGGTCGGGTCGGGTGAGGGTCATGCGCAGTGTCATTTCTCTCGCCTCTGCCGGCATCCGTGCGTATTCCGTTGATGGTTTGGGTGAGTGAAGCTGATCACTCTTGATGGGCGGCGGCCGAAGCGCTGTCATCTCCACTGTATGGGGTGTCTTGGGAGAATCCGAATCAAGGGATCCATCATCGCTGAAGATCGACGACCGATCGTCGGCGAGAAAGGTGCGGAGATTTTCTGACTCGTCCACCAACGCTGCCTTGGATTGTCGGTGTTTCAATGGCTTGACGTCCTTGCCAGGCTTGGTGGTGACCATGGCTTCTTTTGAAGGAAATCCGAACTCGATGGCTTCGTCAAACTTTTGAGGGGAGGCCAGGTATACCCGCAGCTTCAAGCGGGCCTCGGGATCTTGGTAGTGTGCAGCCTCCGGGTCAAAGGCAGCGACATTGTCCTGGGGACTATGCTTTGGTGAAATCAGAGACAGCGCCCGTGATCTTCGCCGGCCGTGTCCCGGAGAGCTTGTCAGAGGGCTGACCGGAGAACTTGAAAACAGCGGGGTCGTGGGGTGGCTTGCACCAGCGGGTGTCGTACCGGGGCGGTTGGTGGAGAGCGAGTTGCGGCCGAAAGGTATCTTTGATATGGAAAGGTGCCTGCGAAACGACGGCCTGCGCTGTTTCGAGTTGGCCGGTAGATCTTCTCGCAAATTGGCGTGGTAATCGTCGAGATGTAAACGCAGGTCTAGGTCGTCATCCTCCTCCAGCCAACGGAAGCTGTCGTAGAATGAGTCCCGCTTCTTCTGTACTTGAGGGGACTTCTTCTCTTCCGGCTTGGGCATTTGTTTCCTCGTATCTTGGCTCGGCCGCCGAGACTCCATCGTCGAAGGTCTTACCGATAGAGTCGGACTCCACAACTCGTCTTGAACAATCAGGCTAGAGGCTCGTCTTCGAACTTTGTAAATGGCCTCATCAGCCGGGTCAAGGATGATATCGTGTCTCCGGCTTCGGGAAGCAACAATCTGCTCTTCGGTAGTCAAGTGCCTCTTCCGAATCTTGTCGGGCAGCCGTACGTAGACGGAGGAGCTCGTCGAAGCGCGGAAGTTGGCACGGCGGGAAGGACGTCTCTTGACGCGGTCGGAAACTTGGTCGGATGCAAGTCTGGCTTGACGTTCTTTGCGGCGCTGCTTCAATGTCTTTGGTGTAGGTGCGGTGTCTGGACGGTCAAAGTAGATGTCGATATGTGTGGATGGCGGAGGAGGAGCCGGAGCAAGACTTGCAAAGTGAAGACGTTCGAGGGAGCTAAAGTACTGAAGAAGGATTTAGTAAGAGTTGTGTGTGAGATGAGGAAAGAAAAAGATACAAAGGCGTGGACAGGAATGTAGATGGGGGCAAGAATGGAATTGAGAAACAAGGAGGGCATGTAGTGTCTTAATGCAGGAACGAGCAGAGGGAGGGAGACGTTCGTGTTCCCTCCACTTGCAGTACTAAAAGTAGAGTATGGAGTAACATGGGACTGGAGCCAGAGACTGTGCTCGTCCGCACCGCACCGCACCGCACCTGTGTCGTGTTGCGTCGTGTTGCGGTGGTGCTTGTGAGCGGGACCTGCATTGCATCTGTTGAGGTGCATGACGGATGGAGCAGCTACCGTACCGTACTGAGGACGGGATGTACGAAGGTACAGAGACACGCAGACATAGGAAGGGATTACTTTGGTATGGATATTGGCTGGCCTGGAGCGGGTGCGATGCCACAGCCGTCAAGCTACAGTATCCGTAGGCAGAGATACTTTGGGAGAGAAAGAGAGGAGCACTTGCTCGAATCAACCTGAACGCCAACCCAATACATCGAGATCAGCGACGCTCGAACTCAATTCAGCCCCCCGGCCCTCAAGGGACAAGCTCGGGGTTCTGGGATTGGGATTGCTTCTACAGGCAATCTAGGAATAGCCCGGGAGCCGACCCATGACTTTGGACGCAAAGCTCCAAACCGTCAATTGAGACAGGAGGGGCGGCTGGGTGCCAGGGGAGGAGAAAGCCGGAAGGCAAAGACCACTAGGAGGAGGGAGCTATGGCGGTAGTCCCTTGACTTGCGTGGGAGAGTGAGTGAGGGAAAGTGAGGGAGAGAGAGAGAGAGAGGGTATGAGAGTCCGTGATGCATGTCAAGTCAGGTCAGTGCATCAGCACCATGCTCAGCGTCAGTGCGGATGCATGTGCCGTGTGTGCATAGTGACTTCTCTCAAGGAGAGACGACAGACAAGACGACGCAGACATGGCCGGCACACGCCATGCGGGAATAGCTCTAGAGTCCACGCCGCACCAAGTTCACCAAGAGCACTTGCGGCTTAGCTCGCTTGTCCGTTCAGCCAGCGGCACCACTTGGTGGCCCGGGTGGGTTCCACAGAATGTGGGAATTGGGATGTGCTGCCGACCAAAAAAGATAGGCCCGCCGTTGCAATATGAGTAATGATGGGTGAGGAGGGAGTCCGAGGAGGATCGGGGGATTTGGACTGAGTGGACGAACGAGGGAATGGGGAGAGACATGACGGATGGTTGGGCCCCAGTTTCCGCACTCGAGTGAGACATGTCGTTCGGTCTTGGGTTGCACAACGGCACGGGATCACGCCTGAACTGGCGGGCCGGGGTACATTGTGTGCGAGGGCGAGAGTGAGAGTGAAAGTGAGCGAAACATGAGAGAGAGACATGCCTCATGTTGTGCTGTGGGATGATGAGGAGTGTGCTGATAGTGCAATATCAAGCTGTGCAGCGTGCAAGGGCGGGAAAGGGAAGCTGAATGAGACGAGACGATGTAAAGACCAGGCATGACGAGCAACAAGTGATGAGATGATGAGATTGGACGACTTGGTGTTGTTGATGTTGTGATGACAATACTCACTCAACAACACGATGCGATTCGTCATATGCGAGTTCGTGAACGAACGCCGCCGCGTCGGTCTGCATCGTGGCCTGCAACCCCCAATCCCCTCATTTTCAGCTGTGCGGAAGGGGAAAACGCTCTCTTCAGCGGTTGGCAGCTATGCATATGCATGAGCATGAACGCAGATATGGACAAAAGAGGGGACCTTGTGCCGCCCGCGCCTGTGCCTTGTGCCTGACGCCAATGCTGACTGGCCGCCCTTCAGAGCGAAAGAAGGTGATATTGGGAGTCGAGTGCATGAGGGTGTGGGGACGAAGATGCGAGTTGGGGGCAGAGAGAGATTGAAGAATGAGATGTGCTGGGTGTTGGTTGGACGGAAAGGAGGTGATGATTGTGAGCTGCTTCCGGGGGTGAGGGCCCGAAGCAGGCTGTTCTTTTCTCGGGTGCATGTCTCAGTGGACACTTGACGCTCACTCTCACTCTCTCACTCGCCCTCACTCACTGGGAGTGTGTCTCTCCGCGGCGACGATGCTGGCAGTTGGGCAACCATTCGGCGAGCCAACCTGCATCGATGGGTACCTGAACGGCGGCCCCCCCCAGCCGCGAGTCCCCGCTGCAGCTATACGGCGGAACTCAGGCGGCTGTGGTTGGCGAGGTGAAGGTACCCTGGACTTGGGTCGGAGACTCATTGGAGGAAACGGATAGCTCTGTCCAGGGTCGGTCTGGACCTTTCCAGCCAGCAGTAGCACAAGAGCGAGCGGTGATGAGTGTGAGGTCGGACGGGCAGACAAAACTCTCATCCCTCACTCTCATTCCATCTCACTCCCTCGACTCGACCGCTCAGGAACCCGAGAAGAAGGCGGAGAGAAGGCGCCTCGCCCTCGTCTCGTCTCCTTATGACCGGCCGAGCGCACTTTCATCCGTGTCCTTGACAACACTCCCTGCTACCGTCTGTGCCTCTACTTCTGCCCAGGGCTGGGCCAAATGGCCACGGGAAATAAGCCCGTGCAGAGCAGAACAGGGCCGAGGGCGGGAAAGAAACAAAATGAAGTGAAATAAAATAAAAACGGGCGCCGCTGTTCCGTCCTCAAATTTGAAGAGACGGCGTGTCTCTCGGCTCAAACTTCCTGGGCTGGGGGGAAGGGGGGCTGGCTTGCTGGCTGCGCTAAGTAAAGCAACGAGAGACTCGGCACTTGCGAATAAAGGAACGCCCATCGGAACGGTACATGGAAATGGCAGATTTTCGGGATTGATAGCAAATGCTCGAGCGAGGGGCCGTGGAGAGAAGAAGACGAAGTGCAAAGGGGGATAGTTAGGAACGAAACAATCAGAAATAGAGAGCACCAGAGAAGACAAAGCGAAGTCTCGGTTGAGGGTAAATCAGGTCCACAAAGGAAGAGGGAAAAGATCACACAAATAAAATGTCTTTGCTCACCTTTCGCTGAATAGCTTCCGGCAACGCCTCGAATTCTTGCTTCGTCATCTGCGCCCCAAAGGGTCCCGACGATGAAGGCGATACCGGCGGAGGCGGCACAGCAATTGTTGCTGATCCGGTAGTATTGACCTTTGTCGGCTTTACAGCCATCGTCGCCGAGTTTGCGGCAGACACCGTCGTCGCCGTGGTCTTCTTGCTGCCGCTGCTGTTGCTCTTCTCGTGGCTCTTGCCGCTCCTCAGTGTCCACGTCGTCGAGTTGGCTGTCGCGGTCGCGGTAGAGCCAGTGCCAGAGCCAGAGCGGGAACCCGACTCGGAGCTCGTCCGGGGAAAGTGAAAGTGCTGGTGGCTCCTCGACGAGTCGGGCCGCAAGTAGAGGTTATGATATGACGATGACGAAGGGGATTGTTTATGCTGTTGCTGACTCTGTTGCTGTTGCTGCTGGTTGTGCTGGAGCAGACGCAGATCGGGCGAGCTGTACCCGTCGAGTCCGTGATGCAAATAGTCCCAGAGGCCGTGAGACCGGTCCACGCTATCCTCGCTGGTCCGTCCACCGGCCGCCGTCTCCGCTGTTGCTACTGCTGTCTTCTTGCCATTGCTCTTAGCGGCGTTGTTGTCACCTCCCCCAATGCTGGGGAAGCTGTTGGTAATGGTCGTTGGCGCCATTGTCGCCGTTGTCGTGGTGGCTGTCGATACCGATGTCGTTGTAAAGGTCAAATTTGTTGTTGTTGATGTCGATGACGAAAAGCTCGAGCGTGCGGAAGAGTAAAACGAAGTATTATTACGGATACTATTGGAAATAATGTCGACGCTGGTGCTGGTGCTGGTGCTGCTGGCGGTTCTTGTTGATGAAAGATCTCTGTCGATCTCGATCTCGTTGATCAGAAAGTGCGCAATGGGAACAGAAGAAGGAGACGAGTTATTAGACGAGCAAAGGATAAACTCGTCCGCGTCCGTATCCGTGTCGTTAAGGAAACTTATGAGCTCATGCTGGTCCACGCTGGCAACGCTCCCCATGTCCTTATCCATCGTTGCCGCCGCCCAGGGACGAGGGCGGTGCTGGCATAACTTGTCCTCCTCCATCTCCCCCGGTCCAAGCCTACCAGTCGATGGTGACAATCGTGATGGGTCCCACGGCAGCGTGCCCATCACGCCAGGTACGCGCGCCGGGGCAGCGAGCGCAATGCCAGCAAAGGCCTTCATTCGTCCACTTGCCCGCTCTTCTTGCTCTGCCCAGGACCTGGACGAGGAGGTCGTCGATGACATCCACAAACTTTCCCCCAATCGCCTTGGATCCTGCTGGCTTATCCCCAGCAGCGCAGTCATGGTTGCTACACTTTTTGCTCCGCTGTGAGGCACCAAGTCACCAAGGTCCAACGAGATACTGCCGGATCTGGTATTGAGCTGACCTCACAAAGCCCGGGAGTCCCTGCCAGCTGATGGGGGCCTTGTGCCTGTGCCTGGGATGCGTGAAGAGGGTCTTCCTCTTCCTGTTGGTTCCGGATCCACTGGGTGAAGAGGAACCAGGGAGCAGGGGGACATGCAGCCGAACGGCGAATAAAGTGGTAGCGTAAAGGTAAGGTAAGAAAAAAGTATGGTTCAATCCACCAGCAGGGCTCCAGAGTCTGAGAGCTCAAGACTCCAAAAAAGAGGGTCACTCTAAGGGACCGGGGTGAAACTCTCGAGAATGGTATTGATAATGTTGATCACCAACACATTCGGGCATGACTTTGCAATGAAGGAAACATGAAGCATTGCCAATTTGGAGGGCCCGGGAAGGGTTCATCCTGTATTTAGGTGCCAACATCACACACATCGAAGGCTTCAGCCAGACAGAGACAGAGGATCGAGGTGTGACCTACATCATATATCTCGTATCCCAATGGTTGCTGCTGAACCGGAACGTCCGTCTCTTGGTTGACGAGACAAGGCCAGCACAGCAAATGAGCTTACGAGAGCTGCATGTAGCGAATTTCACAAGCGCTTCGCGAAGCACACCAAACACAATTTTAGCAACAAGCGGAAAATCTTCAGCGGTTCTGCAGGTTTGTCGAGACGGCAGCCAGACCAAGAAAGTAAAATGCCTCGAGAGGGAGGGCCGCGTCGGTTTGTCATACGTTCAGGCCGTAGCACAACATTTCCGCTCCTCTGCATGTCTCGCCGTCCCGTGTCCCGAAACAGTCAAGACCGTCGGTTCGTCAAGCTTTCACAATCATGCTATCGTACTATGATAGACAGCGTGACGGCTTCATTTCATCCCCCCCCCCCCCAAGACTTATTCCTGGTGTGGTTGCATATGGATGCGGCGCCCGCAGATTGCCAGCCCTCCATCTCACTTTTTGCAGGACCACACTCTAGTCTCGGTCTCTGTCGAGTAACGGAAGCAAAATCAAACCACACATCCATCTTGTCAGTCTGTGCTACCTCGTCACTCTGCCCCCCCTGCTTGTGTGCCTGAACATCATCATCCACCCCCGAATTCCACATCGTCCCATGTTCAGCCCCAATGCCGTGTCGCGGAGTCCAGCCAAACCTTTCCTATCTACCTCTTCCGCGACGTTGAGTTCAGACGGTCTTCTCTCACATTCATCCTAGGAACTTTCTTTCTTTGGTGGGGGCGAATTGTAACCCTGTCAACACGGTACGGGTAGACTTGCTGGAAAGTTACACGAGAAGTGTCGGGAGTCTCGAGAACGGGATAATGCCACCATCGGCTGCCCTGTTGTTTCCCTGCTGACGGGCGATCATTGGACATGGTCGTTTAGTCAGTCCACAGAGCCCTATCAAGCATGAATACCCAAAGGCAGAGCTCCACGGGACAGCAAAGAAACATGGAATAAGAGAAAAGCATCGTGTATTTTTGTTTCACGGTTTCACCGACGTCGCGGAGGGGACAACCTTGGTTTGCGTAGCGGGAGCACTGATCAGAATCTGAACCTCAGCCCTTTTACGACTAGCTCGAACTTCGGGAGCATAGAAATTTTTTGCTTTTTTCTTCTTCCACTCTCGCATCTCTTTCCCTGTGGTGAGATTACGAAACCGGAAAAAAAAACACAGCAGAGAGCCTGCAATTTACTCGAGGCAAGCCTTGCGCGACGTTGGACGCTTGAGCTAGTAAAGATGAGGAGGACCTTAGGCCAAAAGCCCAGACCAGCCGCACTACAGCCTACACTGCATGAGCCTACGGACGTATGAAGGCAAGCTCTCGAGAGTCCGAGATGAACCGTAAGCAGAAGACACTCTCGCGGCGTTCCGTCCAACAAGGCTGCGTGGCTGCTTGGTTCTAGCCTTCTGGCCTTCTCTCTCTCTCGATTATCGCGGCCCCCACACTGCGAGCCGTTGAATGGCTGTGCCCCCCTTGCGGTGTTTGGTCACAAATGTCATAGTCAGCTTTCAGATGCTTGCCTTTCCGTCAGCAACGCCCAACGGGCCAACGGCCGCCGCTCGGGTAGATTATGTCCAAAGGGCGTATATGATTGACAGCTATGAGCGCTTACAGAATTCATGCTCGACGCGATTGTGCCAGTAGGCATTGCGCGTTGCCGTTATAGAGCCCGCATGTTATGGATGGATGTGACGAGGTCCATAGAGGAAAAGGGGAGCAACTTAGCAAGAAAGCAACCCTACTCCTGGGGAGGGTGTCTCCGGGAAATACGGACGCAATGAAACCTTCCCTTTCTCTCCTGCGTACCGATCGGCACCTCGTTCTGGGGCTCTGAGGTCACAGTCACACCGACACGCCGGGCACGACTCCACGAGGGGAGGAGCCATACGGGTACGAAGTAATAGAGAACTGGAGTCTGGGAGGGATACAAAACTTGCAAGTTGCAACACACGCGCCAAAAAGATGTGCGCCCCTATTTCCTCCATCCGACGGAATGCGGCACTTCATCAACGGTGACAGAGACTCGAGAGAGGCCATGACGACGCCAGTCTTGCCCTTGACCAAGCAATTATACGGGGTCCCTCGACAGACTCTATTCGTACGATGATTTGCATTGCCGGTGCAACCCCATCCGTGAGTCGCTTGGCTCTTCCGCCTGTGCGATCCCCGATTCCACTTTTCCCGTCAACTGAACGCCTCCGTTCTGGCTCATGAATCGTCCCTTCTTTTTTTTGCCTTTTCTGCCTTTCGTCCCGCCATTGAATTGACTCGAGGGGCTTTTTGGGACGAAATAGGATAGCTATATCGCAGATCTTATGGCTCTGGCTCATCCAAAAGGGGACATGGCCAGCAGGCTGAGCAGCAAACCGGACGAACCGTTGAAAAAGCCCCACGCATGAGGTGGAAGTGGGAATATACCAAATGGGATAGCATAAAGTTGCTGGAGCCCACTGGTATGCAACTTTGAACCGCGAATCCTTCACGATCAGGGAGACAAAGAAGAACTCCACGCCCATTACGACGCCGATTCCCGAAACAGTGGAGGCCCGTGATTGGCTTTTATGCAGCTACGAGCATCCCCTCGCGTTCCAGCTCTCTGGAGACAAGACTTATCTCGAGTATCGTCAATCTTTGCACATCATCGTCATCGGTGCAAAACCCTACGGTGCTTCTCACGATCCTAGCTAGCATTTCGAGATGAGCAGAGAAGGTCCAGGGTAGTCGAGAGCTTAATTTGGAGGGTTTCTTACAACAATTATCGAGCAGGTTTCCTCTTCGTTGAAACACCAATTTACAGCCTGGCTCCGGGTTCATAAAGGCCACGCACGACTCGGATTGTGAAGATTGGCGGGGGCCCTCCGGCCGAGAACGAGTCAACATCACCCTGTCCATCATCAATTTGACTCCTTTTTCTTCCCGTTTCTGGAAGTCTTTTTCTTCCTCTGCCTGCAGCCATGGCCCCCGTACGAGTACGGATTTATATGCTTTCTCCATATATCGTCTCTCGGGTCCATCCTTTGACAAACACGTTGTCGCTTCGTCCGTGATCACGAAACATACAAATAATCGAAACATCGCTTTATTCCTCGCCCATGTTTCCGCGCGCAAGAGGGAGCCGAAAAACCCGATGTGGGCCACATTACTGTCCTCATCCCAGCTCTCTTCCTCTTCCTAGGCTCCTCCACAGCGCTAGACCCCCAGAGAATCGCGGGACCTATTCGCTTCCTAGGTTCTCCGTTTCAGCATCTAATTGTCGATAATTGGGTTACTAGGTTGTTCGTAGGTCATCATCGACCGGAGCCTCATCTCTCCATGGCCTCCCTCGGTCCCTGCAGAAATCCTTAGCGTGAAGGGAAAACGAGAGGCGAGTCTGGACCTTGGCGACGAAAGAAACGCTTGACCGCTTTCGTGGTCGAAGCCTGTCTGTTCATCAACTGTTGATACAACGACAGAAGAATTGACAGAGATTCGCAATGTCCACACCGCAGGTTCGGCATCCTCCAGAATACCCACTGATGATCATGTCAACTCATCTGATCGATTGGCACTCGATTCAAAGAGAAACGATTTCCCTTCCCCTCCCTCGTTGCCCACCCGTTCCGCTATTTTCTCCAACTTCGGGTCTCCCGCACCGACGGAATGCCCGAGGGGAGGAGGGCCTCACCGCATGCCTCGCTTGTCGATGAAGCCCGAAAAACAAGCAAACATGCCCTCGCTGGCAAAGCAGGGTCCTTCAAGCAGGGTCTTCTGCACAACTTGAATGATGTCCTTCTTTACTGGCCCGGGGGTGGTCGAGGGAAGGGGGCTTCCTTGGTGTGTGTGCGTGAGTCTGTGCAGGCAGGCCTTTCGAAACCCAGCAAACTGCTTCCCTCTACACGGCTTCTTCCCTGCCTCTAGACGAGTGTTTCTTTGCTTCTTCACACCTGCTACGCGCATGCGGCATGTCTCGCGACTCTGACAGAAAAGCAATTGCGTAACGGGTGCCACTCTTCACCGCTGACTTTCTTTCTTCCCTTGGCCGTCCCGTCAAACTTCAAAGTTTGTCGTTTGGGTTCGTCCTCACGAGTGGAAATCCGTCTTTGTGCGAGAGTGCCGTCCGCCCACACAAAGTTCTTTGCCATGCCGCCTCGACGCGGAAGAAGACTCGTACACGAATATAATTAGCGCTTGAGTCGTACACGTCTCTATCCTCTGTACTCCGTACTCTCCTGTCACCTTTGGGAGAGAAGGCAATCAACGGCGAGTCATTGTGATGTTTGGTCGTACGAGGGCTTGAGCGCAGCTTCAGCCTTTTTCTTCAAAACAAGCTTCTCTCCGTTCCTAAAAGGGGCATCTTTCGTTCGAAAAGGGCAATTGCTCCTCTTTCCTGTGGATTCGGAATATTGAAGTCAAAAAGTGCCCGGTGATCAGATGGATTGAATGGTAACCTAAAGGAGCCTGAGGAGGAGGTGAAGTTATCGACGAAACTGAGTCAAGTTTCAACGTGGCTTGTCGTCTTCCTCATTGCCAAAGCCACTGCCACTCTCCAGCGAAAACGGTCGGGATCTTTTCTGCTTCCCTCCTCCTTCTTAGCTCGCCGCCACGCGCCGATATTGCCTTCTTCGTCTTTCAAGATGCATGCGACTGGTCCAATTCGCTCAACGGCCGAGTTCCCGCCTAAATTGATGCAGCCAGAGAGAGAGAGAGAGAGAGTCTAGAAACTGACAAAGATCCAACGGCCGTTGCTCTCGGCAAATCGGCAAAAAAAAAAAATACCATTCGCTGCGCTCGATTGTGCTCACAATGCTAGAGTCCCAGAACGGTGGCGTGCATGTTCGTGCCAAACTCCATCCCACGAGTATAGTACTTTGTGCAACGGCCCTCTCCCATGCCCATCGCCATTATGAACAGAGCTGGCGGCTTCCAGAACTATGCCAATGCAACCTCGCTAAGGGAAAAAGAGAACACTATGAGTGAAGACGGAGAAAAGCCAATCTTAACCTCATCTTAGCTAAAACCCCCCGCCTTTTCTCATAGCCTCCAGGAATGTTACACCAGACATGGAACACAAATCTTTTTTGGGGGGGCCATTGGCGAACCACGGAAACTAATCTTCTGGGAAACGAGAAGACGGAAATAAACGTCAGGTGAGTGAGAAAAAGCCCCGAGAGGAACCTCATCTCGCGGTTCCCTCCAGGCTCCTCAAGCTCTTTCAGACTTGCGAGCTCGGTGGGCAGGGTGGGCAATCCCACGCGTCGCGACCAAACAGTACTATCCGTAAGACAACCCCGGCCGACCTACGAAATTGAATTATTACTCCGTTCACTTTGACTCTGATACCGGGCCCAGTAAGATGGAGGAGGAGCTGCACGTCATTCGTTGACGTTGTCTTTGTATGTCTCTCAGTCTGTCACCGTGTTGGCTGCTCTTGTGTGTTAGGAATGCAGCCGGAGAGGGGGTGACATGCCAGCAGGCTATTTCGTTGGCTATACTTCGTACGCAAGCAGCAAACAAATCGAAGGTGTCTACTAGGATATTGAAAGACAGCCTCATTCTGCAGAGGTGTATTAAAAGTCCTCAAGACATGGGAATGTCGCGGTACGCTATAGTAGTTACGTAGTACCACTTCTCGAACATGACTATTATTTCTTCCGCCGCTCCCTTCTATGAGCAATGAGGAATATCTCCGAACAAAAGAAAGCTGAGTTCCAGGCTGCTGTGCCCGTCTTTCCTGCTCTTCTATCCATCTGATATGAAGTCGCAACACTTTACCCCTCTTTCATCACACCGGTTACCCATCATGGCAATGAGGCTGCAAGACAAACCAACAGCATATGCTCAACGTCGAATTGGGAAATCCCACCTTGGCATCCTTCAGCCGCCAAACAACAGCTTAGACTGAGAGGGTGTGAGACCCCTGACAAGCAAACAAAAAATCTTTCCCATCTCTCTCCAGACACTGTGTCCGGGTCAGTTCAGGTCATCCTTCAGGAACGCATGATTTGACTGTCATCGCACCGGGCCGTTCCATTCTACACAGGAGCAAAACGTCCGCATGGAACGATATCAAGGTTTCACAACATGAGACTATCAGATCAGCTCTGGGCACTCTGCTCTTTATATATAGGCATATGAGATAGCTCGAACTTCGTCCATCAGGAAAGCTTTCCACCTTTCCATAATCATCATAGTACTGCCCAACCGCCAACATCCGTCTCTCGTCACACACGGTGATCACACTGGCCTTACATAAGCCCACACGCGGTCTGCAACCAATCCTCGGCTGCTTTGTAACGACGACCAACGGCGGCAGTTACCAGCCATGCAGTTCACGGCCAGAACGGCCATTAGGTCTGATGCCAGGGTTTGATACGCTGTATCAACAAGGATGGGCGCCTTAAATCCCGCCAGGCTGTTGACAAGGCCCCTCATCCTATCCCGTATATGCCACCCCTTTTCCACTTGTAAGATGTCGTTGCCGGGCTGATAGAGATTCTAGATGGCCGGCATGTCCAGAGTTCCGGAAGTTATGTTAGGCCGACTCGCAGAGTCTAGACCGGACTCAACCAGTGTGTCGGGACGCCCCATACAGAAGATCGGTTGGTTGGGTCTCGAGAAGAAAGTCGATGGGGTCGTGGTACTCATACACCTTGTTGTCCTTGTCACGACCCGTCACTGCAGGTGCCACATACGTTGATATACCCGTCTTGCGGTCGTACGATCTATGAGTGCTTGCCAAGCGCTTGCCACCACCTCCAGGGAGATCCACTACAAACTGCGGCATCACGAAACCAGCAATCGAACCCCTGATCTTAGACTCCAAGTCGAGAATCGTTTGCAGAGGCGTTCGCAAGTGCTCCACCATTTTGACCATGTCACACTGATAGACATAGTACTAGTCCCGTCAGTGCTGCACAACAGGCATCTCAGGGAGGGGGTTACCGTACCGGGAGGATGTTGTTATTCGCCAACTTACGGATGAGCATTGACATGGTGCCTACATCATCGTTGATCCCGCGGAGCAGCACGGTCTGGTTCCGTACCACGACCCCGGCTGCGAATAGCTTCTGGCTGGCCTCCTCACTGACCCAGGAGATCTCATTGGGGTGGTTGAAGTGGGTGTGGAGCGCCACCGCTTTGCCAGCCCTCCTCGCCTTGTTGGACACAGAGACAAGGGCATCAACCCAAGTATCGTTGGGATCAAGAATCCGAGTCGGGCAAACGGCAAGTCCCTTTGAGGCAAACCGGAAGCGACGTATGTTGGGCATCGAGATCAGTCTGTCACCAATCAGTTCGATTTGGTGAGGCGCCAAGTAGTAAGAGTCGCCTCCAGAGACTACAATGTCCTGCAGATCCGGTGTATTCTCGATGTACTGGAACACCTTCTCCCATCTGGCAAGGATGGGCTTGAATGAATGCTTGTCGACGGTTTCGGTGTTGGCACCTACTGCGTAGGATCGAGTGCAGAACATGCAATATGTCGGACAGACGGACACAGCTTCGGAAAGATGATGTTAGCCAATACATCGAGGGTCGTGCTTGGCATATGTATGTTGGTTGAGCTTACGGAGAAATAAAGCCTTGTCTGGGTACCGATGGACGAGACCAGGGACTGGTGAATCGGCCTCCTCGTGCAGAGAATCAAGCGTCAGTCGCGGATGATCCGGTACCATCGAAGACTGAGTCGGGATGAACTGGCGAAAGATGGGATCGTTGCGAGGGTCAGTCCAGTCGATACGACTGAGAACATACGGGCTGTGGCAACTCGAATTAGCACCTCCACCTGATATCGACTAATATGCAACCCACGTAAGCCGAACAGACATGGTTGCCTTCTTGATTCCTGCGAGGACGTCGTTGACAAGCTTGTTTCGAGGCTCCATCTCACTGCTGGAACCACGGACAGGGATGTTCTCGGGCAAGGTCGCATCAAGAAAGCCTCGCAGCTTCGGAAGTCTTTCGACCATGTTTCTACTCTGCACATGTGGGTGGTGTCAGAATGCAATAGGAAACTCAATTGAGAAGGGAGAGACCCGTCAACTTACGCTCCAACGATAACTCAGGAAGTCCTCTGTGGATATGTCTTGCCACCATGGGATCTTGCGCCAGAACTCGTCCCGTCTGCCTCGGTCTGATGTTGATACGTCTGCAACATGATCATGGTACATCGGTTCCTCGACAACCGCTTCAGAGGCCGCGGCTTGAGCTGCTTGCAAACGAGATGGAGTGGCAATCCAGCGAGCTCCTTGGCCACGCTGTGTTGCCCGGATAAAACGAGTTGCTGCCCGAACCGGCATACGAAACGACAACATTGCTGTGCTAAGGTTTTCCCAGCCTTGGGGGCACGTTGGGCAGCCAAAGCTCCAGGGAACGGTCGCCGTTCCGTGGGCGTTGCGGAAATCTTCGGCCGTGCCTAGTAGAGAGCCGTAACGAGACAGTTGAAGTGACCTAGGCTTGGCCAATGTGCGGGTTGTCACCGCCAGCGTCTTGTCGTATGACTACGGTCAGCACGAGAGATTGTCGAATAGTGCGTTGGTGGGAGCTCGATGCAGCGAGTCGGAATTGACAGATGGAAAAAGGTATTGTAATCATCAGATAAGAAATCTCTGAGAGATATCCCGATGCAGGACGGGATGAAGGAGGGGGAGGTAGTGGAGGTGTTGCCATATTTCACTCCTGCAAGAACTGTTTCGCCATATGGCCAGATTGGAAAGAACAGAGGGTGTTTCGATCTACCGCCGTCCATAACCGTTGGTGAAGAACCAACAGTGTGGCAGGGGGCGGAAGGCATACACCAAGATCAGCCTTCAGCAAACAGGTTACACGGAGAATTTTCCTTCAACGGAATGAGTATCTACCAGCTCAACGCAAAGTCACGGCGAGATCTTCCTTCTTTTGATGAACTTCCTGTTCAGCCAACTGAAGGCGACTTGGAAGGTAGGTACTGTACTTAGGAGTAAGCAGCCTGTTTGCTATGACTTCTCAGAAAGCGCAACATAAGCTCGTCTTGTGTAACCTTCCTCTACTTCGCCATAACTCGGGGTATCTTTTACTAACGGCTTTTATTCCGGTGACTAGGAAGTTGCTTCGCAGGGTGGCAGTCCAGCTGTGCGTTCAGTCACAGTAGCTCGAGGCATAATGGCGGCAACCCCTTACTACACTTCCCCGCGGCGCTTGAGGCGAAATGTGCCACCACAACCTTGCATTGTTGCCACGTCTCGCGCAAGTGATATGACGATGAAATCACGCTTATAAACGCATTCATCTGAGCAATGTCCAAATCGAGCTGCATTTGCATATATCCTGGCTTAGTCCACTCTCCCTCATCGTCAAACGCTGACTTCCTATTAGCTACCGAGTGTCTGGTCACGCATGCTAGTCCTTTGTCTAGCATCTCACCTCCGAGAAAAATCCCTCGAGAGCCAGTGGTTGGGGCCCTAGAAACTCTCCACAAACCCAAGACAATACAATGCCGGCTGAGCTTCTGTTGTTGCACACCGACTTCCGTATATCATACACCCGAAACGAATGTCCTGGCCAAGTACACCAGGCTATGATATTGGCCTTTGTCAAACAGCATAAGTCCAGTCACTATGCATGGGATAAACCAACAACCTCTCTCAACGGGTCAAGGCTAAGTCTCCTGTGATACTTCTAAAGTACAACGAACGTTCGGTTGGACCAAGTGTGGACCCTTGCCAGCGCTTCCCGCTGATCTAACCTTGGAGTTGCCGGACTTACGCCAACAGCAAATTGCATTCCCAAGCTTGGTCTGAGTAAAATCAAGTGGAAAGTGTCCAGGGATTGTCCGTAGCTGTGTTGGTTTACAGCTTACAAAGAAAGAGCTGGCACGACCGAGTATAGTGTTAAAGAAGCCCGCTACCCTTGATCCAACCTTCATGAAGTTTATGTGCTAGACTGGTGTATCTACTGTTGTCATCTCTCTCTGAAGAAAAACAGAAAAGGACCATCAGATATTATCAAGTACCTATCACAGCCATGGCCACGTCTAGACCAAGTCAGCTCGATCAGCGTACAGCATCAGTGTCTCAGGTAGCGGCCAGCCCAAACATGGATGTCGAGGAAACCACACGCTCTAAGGCGTGTGGCATGCCGTCACTCCGCCATAAAACAGGCATAGGGCATGTTCATGGACCCCTCAGCTCTCTTCCTTGCTTCTTCTAGCGGACCTGACTGACCTGACTTACGTCCATTTGTGCAGACTGCCGCCGCTACGACCCGTTTCTCACTCCAGCCCCGCTGCCATAATCCGCCGCCCGACGTTGCCCCAGACTCAGCAGCCTTCGGCGGTACATCATGCCTCTAACGACCAGGTCAAGGTGCTATCAAGAGAGCCCGTAGACGGTGGATGGAGGGCTTGGTCCGTTCTCATAGGATCAACGGCGTTCATGATCCCGACGTTCGGTCTAATGACGACCGTGGGCATCTTTCAGGTCTATTGGAAGGAAAACCAGCTTGCTACGTGGTCTAACACGGACATATCCTGGATTATATCCATCTTTGGGTTTCTATCTGTTCTACTCTGCGGCCCCTTTGGCATCCTGTTCGACACGTTCGGGCCCCGATGGCTCGTGACCCCCGCAACAATTGTGTACAGCGCAGCCTTCCTGGGCGTCGCCTTCAGCAGTCAGTACTGGCAATTCATGGTCTGCTTCTGTGCTGCCGGTATAGGTGCAGGTAGGTTCTTTGTCCATCCCGGGCAAAGCGTAACTGTCAAGAATTATCCTAACGTTACGGACGTAGCGGCTTTGACCACCACTGCGCTAGCCGTTATTAATCATTGGTTTGACGACAAGAAGGGACTGGCCATGGGCATTTGCACCATGGGTGGAGGACTGGGTGGCGTGATCTTCTCCGTGGTGCTTCGGTTCACCACCAAGAACTTCGAGTGGACGATGGCAAGCCTCATCCACTTTGCCATAATTTGCGCCTTTTTATCCCTCGGGTGCGCGTTGACGAGGCCCAGAGTACTCAAGGCTCGCAAAGGAAAGATGTGGGACTTTGCCTGCTTCAGGCGTTGGAAGTTTGTCCTCTTCACCTTCAGCGTATGCGGTATGGCAGTTGTACCACACCAACTTCATCAAGCATCAGTAGCCCTAATGCAATGTGATGGCAGGCTTCGAGTTGGTGCTGTTCGTAGCGTGGGGTCTCCTGCCCACGTATGCCAGAATAGTCAAGCTCGGCGATGTATTCTACTTGACCCTTGTCTTCAGTGTGTAAGTTCACCCACCCCTTGATCACCGTGGGATCTCAGAGCCGGCGCTTGGTTCTTCAGCTCATGCTTTCTCAGGGGGTCTTCCTTCGGCAGGATCGTCCCTGGATATTTCACCGATAAAATAGGCCCTTTCAATGTGACTATACTCATGACAATATTCACAGAGGCGGTCATGCTTGTGTTGTGGCTAGCGTTCGGAGACACTTCCGCGCCTATGCTCTATGCCGTCGCCTTTTGTCTTGGATTCGGTACCGGTAGCTTTGTGTCGACGGCTGCTACATGTCTTGGACGACTCTGCGACCCGCAAGACAGTGGTACATACATCGGCTGCTGCTATGCTGTTGTGAGTCTGGCAACCTTGGTCGGCAACCCAGCCAGTCAGGCTGTTCTAAGGAACGGTGAGGGCAGCCGCCCTCGCTTGATGATTGCCTTTCTTGCGATAGTCCTCGCAATGGCGCTCGTAAGCTGCTGCTTTGTCCGGTGGTTGTGTTTGAAACGCAGCTGGAAATGGTTGGCAAAGGTGTGATTCGAAAAAAAAGTTGACACCAAACATCCGACCACGAGCACGAGGACCGAAAATTCCTTTCTTATTTATAACTGGAGTCGGCAAGGATCCCCTCAGACTGACGATGGAGGATGACTGGGTAGACCGGCAGTCTTGGCTATCCCGGTGAGGCACTGTTCCAACGTGGTTGGCTGACGACAGCGTTGACTATCTGGTTAAAGGAGCGCCTCATGCAGCCCTCGTCGAAAATGACTTGCAGGATCGGACCAAAGGTTGCAGCACGATGACCGCCCAACGCAAAGCGGTTACGAGATCGTATGATAACAGAAGAGTGAAGCTGGTCAGAGCGAACGGAATGACATACACCGCAACTTGAACTGTTTTTGGACGCTTTCACGTTTTACTCCCTTAGCAACCTTGAATTCATATACTTACTTACCTTGTTTGACCCAAGGGGTTTAGCCAAACTTTCACACCATAGGAATGTTTTCTCGAATCATGTTCGCAGGAATGGCTTGATAGTACATTAGGCCCAAGCCTGGCGGCCTCCCCTGCCTGTCATCAAGTTATCCGGCCGGCAACGGTACAGTGCCTTTCTTGATATACTTACCGTGATGACCATTTCGTCTACATGGATCGAAGATCTGAGTATGCAAGTTATCAGACGTGCGTATCTACAATCCCACGGGGAAAGTGTCCGGAATTTCCGCCACGCCTTCCAAGGCCAAGGAGACATGGTACAGCCAACTGGGTTCGGCGGGCCAAGACCGGGTATAAGCCAGCTTACCCCATTTTGGCACAGCTTGGCCACTGAACAACTATCATTAGGGACTTTGTGAGCGTCGTGGATGAGTGCGGCGAGGAGTTGAATTGGCTGTGGGCGATTAAGGCTGCTGGTCGATACAAAGGGTAAGATTTCCAGTGGAACGAGTGGATTCCATTACAGTAGAGAACGCCCTACTGGGCAAATCGCTTGTGATTCCAACTAAAGCCGAAACTGTAGCTCGAGGTACAACTAGCAGACTTTGGGAAGTCCCGTTGGCATGGCTCTTGGGATGAGTGGCTCTTGGGATGAGTGGCTCTTGGGATGAGCCTTGGCCAGTCGTGGTCTGCTAGGGAGACCGCGAGACGAGGTCCCGATCAAGAAATCCGGTACAATCAGACTCGCAACCACTCAAAGTTATCCAAAGGGAAGTTGACGCGACTACAGATCCAGACTAAGGTGAGACTAAGGTAGGCTTCACCAGCAACCGGGGTTTGAGTAAGACTATCGAAACGATTCGGCCAGTCGCGAGAAAACTGTCCCGCCTTTAAGTGAATAGGGTGGGAGAGAAGGATGTTGTGAGGGCATGGGAAGACCCAGGGGTGGCAGACTAGTGAGGGTGAACCCAGTCGCCGACACGGGGTTTTCCGTTGTTGAGTTGAGG